TGGTGAATTATTTCATCTACCTGGTACTTATCACTGGCAATTATGCAACAGAATAACTGTTATTATATTATGTTGTTACACGGTGCTAATTGTTGTAGCTACTGTCAATTATAAAGAATTAAATGCTTATGACCTAAGAACCAAAAGATGTTTTGCATAGAAATTTTATCTAACTATCAACTTTTCATCTTGTTGAAAATTAATAATAGTTAATAAAGTATCAACCTATATATAATATTGAAAGAATTTAAATTTACTCGGCTATATTAGTGAGAACTGTCTAATATTTATTTCAGCATAAATACTGTCGGTCTATTAAAATACAATTATGTTTCAAAACATGATTTTTAATTAAAATTATTAAGTATTTATCTACTTATTATAAGAAAACAATCTCTATTTTAAATAGGTTTATAAATTTTATTTATTTTTTATCCACGGTAACGAACATTCCTATAATCCTTCAGAAATTTCCGAAAACGATCCCGTGTGTGTTTTTGTAAATATCCAGACACTCTTGAGAACGATTCTGTTCTCATAACCCTCCAGAAATTCCTGAGAACGATCCTGTTCCCGTAATTCTCCAGTGCCAACCTTACTCTAACCATTTTAGATTCTGAATGGAACGATAAATGTATTGATTTTACAATGATGTGTGTTTTTATATTTTTTTATTTTGTGCCTGTGTAGTGTGTACACAATAAGTAGTCGAAATAATGCTTTGATTTTCAACTTCAGTATCTATTGTTCGATGGGAAAGTGAATATTGTTGGTGCACTGTGTCGTATATTGTAGACAGTCGTCACTGTAATGTACACACAATATATAGGTGGGAATATTTTAAATTGTAAATTATTGACATAGGTCAGGCCAGTGAAGCAATATGTGCTGAGGCAGAAATAATATTTTACTATATAACACCGCCCTACACGCAGGCACGGGGAGTCCCGTTGTCGCTGAGTGATTCGGTGAGGACGTAGGTAAGACGGTTGTACATGTGAGAAGTCGATCGTAGTAGGGGCTAGGCAATCTGAAATTGCTAAGTGATTTATTTATGTTTGTTTTAATATAATAAAAGTGTTTCCTACCTAAAAACCCGAGTTGAGTATTATTCCAAAGTCTTCTTCGTTCTTACCTTTAATATTGGAACAGTGCTCAGACCCACACACATATATAGTCAATAAGGTTTATTACAAAGTGAACAGTTCTCTAGCTAGTTGTGGCTTCCTAATAGTCATTCCAATTTAGGAAATGGACGAAGAACTAACAAAACGCATAGATACCATCGTACCTCAAAGGTTAACAGTGCTAATCTGAATTTGTTCTAGAGACAGTCATTAGCTTAGAGCAGTCATGCCCAACCCGCGGCCCGCGGGCCACATGTGGCCCGCCAAGGTATTCCATGTGGCCCGTTACAAATTTTTAAAATAAAACAAAATATTCCAAAAAAAGTAAAATTATTACAAAATACGATTTTAATTAATTTATAAATAAAAAATACAATAATAAAAATAAAAATAAAAAGTATATAAAAATGTTTTTAATGTGAAATTTGAACTTTTGTTTCTTTGACTAATAATGAAAAATCTGGTTGGAATTTAGTTGTTCCAATCCTCAAAATTGAATGAAGGTGTTCATCCGTAAGTCGCGATCTATGAACTGATTTTGTTTGTTTCATCCGTGAAAATATTTGTTCACATATATACGTCGAGCCAGGCGCGTATCCAGAATTTTATTTCGGGAGGGGCTGAACAAAATTATCAACATAGTCACATAATAAACAAAAAGTGGGTAAGTGGATGTCGCTCTGCTGTACAGTAGGTAACAAGTGGGTCACTGTAATGGATGGTGTAAAATTTGAATGTCAGTCAGCCTATGATATTACTAAGTATATTTGATGATATTATTGTGAATAAAGTAATTTATATATTTACCTATTTACCTACGTGGACCATTGTTTTAAATTTTTAATCCTTAACTATGAAAGTTGAACATTTTATAAATTTTTAATTACAAAATATTTATTATATTTTAAATTTGGTAAATTTTGTCAAAATTCGAACTTTAAATGATTATAAGAAAAATTTGTGCCTATGTATTTTTAATATTTTTCAACTAATATTGTTACAATATATCAGGAGCCTTGTGTTAATTTTCACGCTTTTTACAAAAAATTTTTTATTGATATTCATAGAAAAAAAAACTAAGAAAAATGAAAACTGTTAATGTCCGTAAATAGCTCAAAAAGAGGCAAAATATTTTCAAATTTTTTTGGTGTATAAAAAATGAAAACATTCAGCAAAATTTTAAGTTTTGTGATTTTTCCGTATTTTGTCAAGATTCGAACTTTAAATGCTTATAGAAAAAATATGACTAAGGATTTTTAATATTTTTCAACTGCTATTGTAACAATATAGCAGGAGCCTTGTATTAAATTTTCAAGCTATTTTACCCAACAAATAAAGTTTTATTGACATTCATATTTTTTGGATTTTCTTGAAATTTCAGGGGGGGCTGCAGCCCACCCAGCCTCCCCCATAAATACGCCCCTGCGTCGAGCCAAATACAGTTGCCATTTTCATCATTATGTCTCTCAAAGCAGGGAAATCTTCGTGTGAAAGCGTTGAATAAAATTTTAAAATATCATTTTTTTTCATTGTTTGAAATTCATCATAGTAAAATGAATTTGTTTTTAACTCGATAAGTTCAAGTTGAAAAGAAGTATCGACATCAATTTCATCAATATTGAATGGATTTTCAAATAAACGCAACGATTTTTCGTGTAATTTAACATCTGAAAATCGAGATGAAATATCGGTTTGCAATTTGTTTAACATACATACAAATCGATTTGTTGAACATAATGATTTTGTGTTATTCTTAAATATTTGGCAGTTCTCAAAATGACTGAAATAGAAATTTTATGATTTAAAATCGATATCACCCGTGCACTATAAAGAGCGTACTGATCAAGTTAATGCGTACCTACAACGTGTACCTCAATTTGTAATCTGTGCTATACTCAATAAAAAAGATAAGAAAACCAGTCCAACATGTACCTCCATATTATATTGCAACCTACGATGTGTAACTAAATTATATTAAGATTGAGAATATGAGTACTTTTATATTTGGTGGCCGGCTAGATTACAAATGTTTACCAAAGTGGCCCGCCGAGGAAAAAAGGTTGGGCATCACTGGCTTAGAGTGTACGATGTAAGGCATATATAGTTGGTTTACCGCGTATTGTCCAATACGGGTGATACCACAATTAGGGAGGTCAAAATTTAAAATTCCCAGTAATTTTCAAAAGCGCCAAGAAAAACAAAAAACAATTAAGGAAAAACTGGAATTTTGGTTTTTGGTGTTAGTTTAAAACAAATGACCGAGCTACATGAAATGTTCACTGATTGTTTATATTTTAATTTGCTATACACGTTAAAATTTTCAAAATATTTTGATTTGTTTTGAACTGCTTAGGGACATTTTCAGTTTAAATTGTATTAGTTTTTTTTTCTATGAATGTCAATGAAATTTTATTTGTTAAGTTTTAATACTTGAAAATTTAATACAAGGCTCCTACTATATTTTTACACTGACATTTGAAAAATATTAAAAATCCTAAGTCACGGTTTTTTTTTTTTAAGCATTTAAAGTTCAAATATTGCCAAAATACGTAAAAATGACGAACATTTGAAAATTATTTCGAATTAGAAATTCATGAAAATTATTCTTTTTAAATTTAAGATATAAAAATGTAATTCAAGATTCCTCATAAGTTTTTCTACCTTTATCAAAAAAAAATGTCTACAAGAAACTCAAACTAAATTTTTATGAGCGTTTGAAATTCATATTTTTACAACATTTGATATTCACTCGATTTCTCATGTAACGCGCGATTTTCTTATTTTGTTGTAATAAAAAAACGAATGACTGTAGATACTTGAAAATTTCACTGAATGTTTATATTAGCATTTTCTATACACCATACAATTTTGACTCTTTTTGAGATGTTTACGGACATTTTCAGTTTTCAATTTTTTTAGTTTTTTTTTCTATAATATCAATAAAATTTTTATCTGTTGGGCCAAAAAATGTAAAAATTTAATTCAAAGCTCCTGGTATTTTGCTACAATAGCAGTTGAAAAATATTAAAAATACATAGGCACAATTTTTTTATAAGCATTTAAAGTTCAAATTTTGACAAAAATTATCACATTTAAAATTTAATAATAATTTTGTAGTTAAAAATGTATACAATGTTCAACTTTTATAGCTAAGGATTGAAAACGTCAATAGGTTATATATAAATTACTTTATTCACCTTAGTATCATCAAATATACTTTGTAATATCATAGGCTGACTAACCGTTTTCGCTCAGAATCGTTTTTATTATACAATGATATTATGTCATTGGATTCAAATTTAATACCATCCATTATACAGAGACCCACTTGTAACCAACTGTACAGCAGAGCACCTTTTTTTTCTGTATTTGTTCATTGATACGACCTCAAGGTCTTTGGAATCTTTATCACAACTCACAAGTGGTTAGTAGGGAGATCATGTGATCTATTTATTTATGTATATATTATCACTATATGCACGATACTATACTGAGTGGTACCTAGTTGGAAAGCAGATAACATAATCGGACGACAGCACGGGAAAATGGTGATCTCGGGAACCACACATATTTTTTTTGTACTTTACTATGAATCGAACCGATGACTGCGTGAGTCGTAGTCAACTGCGCGACCACTGCGCTAATCCGGCCCACTCTATAGTCATATAATGACAGTTTTATCATACTGTCACATCATATTATACTGTACCTACTATGTTAGGGTGTTAGGTACATTCAACTACTTATTATAATACTTTTCGTTGTATTTAAATAAAAAATAATAATAAATAGTATTAAAAAATATACATAAAATAATTTATGCATATAGTATACATAAGTTTATAAATCAGCTACACGATAAAGCAATAATTATTAATAGTCGTCATCGGCGCTCACCTGCGTGTCATTCCACCAAACGTGCAACCGGTAGTTGCGTAAAAGTGTTGGGTTCTCGTTGATGTGGTCGACGGCCAGTTTGACGGCCGGCATGACGCCACGGCCTACACGGCCCTCGGGTATGCTTCCGGATACGCGGCCACCAAACGGGAAGAACCCTGCTATGTAGACGTCGTGTCGCTTGTTCGGCGTGGGCCGTTGACCGACGGCGGTGGCCGCACACCACGCCATCAGCAGCAACCACGACCTCATCCTAAATCCTGCAACAGGAGAAAACAATGTTTCAATCAACTTATTCGCTTGGCACGTCATGAACTTTGTAGTTTGTACATCGTATTATAACATGCGTTATACAAATTTCTCAGTTATATATTATAATCAACGTACATATAATATCATTCAGTACGTCATGTTATTATATATTGTATTATAAATGTATAACGGACTGCAGTGTAAACAAATTTATAAATTATTATAATAATGCACGGAATTGATTATAGATAAAATAATTAAAAAAAAAAAAAAAACAGTTGATAAACTAAAATATAGTTACATCCATTAAGTGTGAATGAAATGTACAAACTCTAGGAGTTGATTTATTCAGAATAATAGTTTGAAATTTAAAAATAAAACCATTTTTGGGGGGACTTTTAACTCATAAACGAATAAGCAATGGAGAGCCGGAGAGGTAACGTGAAAATATAAAATCTTATATGAAATCTTGTAAATAAAAAAATAAAATATCAAAAAGTTTATAACATACGAGACAATATAAAACAAATGTTGATTCAATTATCTGCAACCTTTTGATGTTCAAATAGGTACACATAAACCGAATAACACAAAAGTGAAACCACCAAAATAAAAAAAAAAAACAAACAAATAAAAATGGTAAAATCAAATAAGTTAGATGTATAGGAATCTAATACGTTTTATGATTTCGGTATTATATTGTTTCATTTTATTTATTTTTAAATTTTAGAGAAGAGAAAATAAAATGTATGACGTGCGCTGTGCTATGAGTACCTGGTACACATGATATGTATCTTATAACAAAATAAAGGATTTTGTTAATTTCCATTAACTACCTACTATTTTAAATGTTTCTGGCTTATACATCTAGTTAATTTCAGTGTTGGTTAATAAATAATGGATAACTTCATATTGTTGAAGGAAAACTCATCAGATTTGCATTTCTGATGACCGTAAATAATAATTAATATTTAGGGGCAACCCAATAGTGTGACGTCACCATAATTATGCACTTTGTAGTTTCTAGCCACCATGTCGTACTACTACTTTTATATTCAAGCAAAGTTTTAACTCACTTCAATAAATTAGTACACAATAACTTTAATTACTAAATAAAACAATGTTCAGGACCTCATTTCCGATACCTACCACATTAAAAAGTACATTATGTGAATGCAATTAATTAAAATTCTTTTTTTTTTTAAATTGATTTAATAATACGAAATAGAATATTACATTTGTATATATAAATTATATAATATAAAAATATTAATAAAAATAATAAAAAATATACGTATAAGGAAGCACAGCTTCTAATATTTTTCATTTAATTTATTCAATTCGCTATTTTTATTAAATTTGAATCCGTTGTATCCACCTATGCATTTTGTGCATTATATGTTTATATATTATATATTATATTAACGTAAACATTTCTCTGAAATATGTTCAATATAAATTATATTACCTAACATGACTAAATGACAAGTTTTTATGGAATATTACATTGATTATTCGACAAAAAGCTATCACAACTGACTGAAAGGTTATGATAATTTATATAATAATATACTATAATACCTTTACAATTATGTTATCTCTTCATTTTACGCTTTCTCAAGTTAGATTAAATTAACAAAATTGTTCACAAATTATAAAAACAGTTTCCATTACAAGTATTTTTTTAATTTTTATGCTATATATTAATAAATATGTATATTGAAAACCAGTCTAGGTAGCTAGTATATATGTTACTACTAATTAAGTTACCGTATATTTTAACAATTACTATATTCTGACTATTTAGAGATAAATACATGTTAACAATATTTTATTCTGCATTCAGATATATTTCAAATAATATTTATTAAATTTTAATAAAAAAAATAAAATAAAAAGTGGTGTTAACTAATAATATGAAACTATTTAAAAATTATTAGATTTTCAGTTTTCTTAAAAAAATCCAATACAGAAACCATATAAAATTTGATGTGGTATTTTATAAATTTTAAACATTTTTATTACCTATTTTTACCATACAAAAGCATAAAATTAGTTTTCGACGAAAACAATATATTTTTAATTGGTGTAAATTTTTTCTGAAAAAATAATAAATTAAAATTAATAAAACGGATTTTATGGTATTTTTATACAAGCATTTAAATTTTGTTAAAATACTTAAAAAAATACATTTAAAAAATCGTATTTAGAATACCATATAAATACTTCAAAAAGTAATTAAATACAAGTATTCAAATACTTGTCTTCAAATACTTTACAAGACAGCCACTCGCCCTCATTGGATGATGACTGATGAATAAAAATGAACTATTTTTACATGATCATAATTATTTTTAAATGAAAATAAATAAGTATAGTTCCATTCAAGTATTTTTTGGCGTATAATATTGCATTTATTTATCATATTAAAGGCCAGTTGAACCGTCTTCGATTACACTTCGATTACGCTTAATCAGCTGATAACAGATTTTATAACCGGGTAAATTTGGCCAATTAAACTTCGGTTAACTTTAATCAGAGATGGCACAACTAGCCCTAAATCCGTAAACCTAGACTTTAATAACCACTGTTAAGTTTTGAATGCTCTATCGTTGGTGTGCCAAGTTATAATAATATGACAACGACTAGATTCCATACTTGACAACTGACAAGTGGGTTGGATGCAGTAGCAGGTACCTACTCTGTAAGCACATCTCTTTGCACACGAGCCGCCGTCCGTAGTCGATAAATTGTCTTAATGAGGTCATTTCGGCGAAGTGTATATATTTGGGGGTCTAGTGGTTGAATTCAATCGATCCACGGAAAAATCACTGCCAAAGATAGACAGCTAGGTCAGCAGAAACATGACGTGTATATTGGGTATTTAGCGGTCAACCGTTGGAGATGAAAACGCTCCGAGCGAAAATAGACTAGAGTAAAACTATGGTCATAAGAGTGATAATGGTTCCAAAAAAAGCTTAGCCAAAAGAGGTTTAAAATTATTAATAGTAGCTATAATTTATTTTAAACACAATTGTATAAGAAAATACAGGACCTGCAAAGTTGTGAATAAACGTAATTATTATTAGGTTAGGTCGTATTAGGTAATCGATATGTTTTAATTTAACTGTATAAATAAATGATTATTTTAATAGGTACTTTTTTAAATTTTAAAAATGAAATACAACATTCTGCCATAAAAAAAACTGTTGCAATGATTACTTAATATTTGACATTTCATTCATTCATTGTAAAGTATTACGATATATTTAGGGAAGTGTATAATTATTATTTTTATTGTTATTAAAAAGTTATTATTACTAAATGATCTAAACATAATTAGGTGTGTTTTACTTCCTCATTATTATATTATTGTATTTTAAAATATTTAAATAATGCTTTAAATAAATATCATGATAATTATAATCATAATATAACTATAATAATAATTTTATTGGACTCCTGATTTGCCTATCAATAGCGCCACGAGATCATAATTTTTATTAAAACGCATTAAACATTTGTTTGGGCACAATAGCAATACTACAGTTTGATGAAAAAAAGAAGAAAACGCGTCAAAATTGCTTATTGAAAATAATATCTAAGTAATTATACCCATTGATTTAGGCATACCTCACGATCTCTTTATCCCCATAATTCGATTCAGAAACTATAACCCATTAATTATTATATCTTTAAACACGTGACTCTTAACCCACTCTCATCCAAACTCTTAATAATTATTATATTATTAATTTGTATTACTCTTAGAGGGAAAGCCGAGCAATTTACATCCACTACAAGTATAATATAAGTGTATATTATTTTTTTTTTAATACTTTCTTTAATATTAACAATCGTGTTTGGTCAAATTTTTTTCAAACAAGAATGCTACCATATTAAAATTAAAATGTTTCATTTGTATTTTCGAAACTAGTAAACAATTAAACTTAACTTATATTTTAATTAAATGTTATTCATTTTAATTCCTACATATGTCAATATTATAAGAACGGTTGTTATTAATATAATATTCAATTAATGTCAGATAAACAGCTTTTTAATTTTTAATTCTGTAGTGAATACGAGTTTCTTAAGAAATGCTATACCTTCGACCGTAAAACAAATACAAATCTCTGTTGGTTCCCGGGTGCAATTGTACAGATGTTGTTTAAGTAATGATTATACGCATGACCAGCAGTTAGTATTGTGTACTAACTCTTAACTCTAAAAAATGACGTAGATTGTTTTTATTCATTACTTATGTATTATTGTATTGTTGTTTTATATTTAAATAATAAAACATAGTCGCTCTAAAAAAGCAGTCTCGTGTTATATAATATCTAGTAATGTACAATTATTATTTATACTCATTCAAAAGATATGCAACCGTTTTTTTTATTTTATTTTTATAGGAGTGGATGCGAATTTCATAATAAGAGTTTAGCACAATAGTTTACAGACAATATTTTATTTAAAGTAAAGTAAAACAAGACAGCATGTACTTTAAAATAAACGTTTATATTTTAGTTCTCGTTTATAACACTTCCATTTCATCAACAAATCTAAATATAATGGTTTTTTCTTTTTACTTAAAATAGTCATACCTGCCTACTCATAAACAAATTGTACCCCCGTCTGAAATTAGATTAGTTTTACACATCAAAATTTAAAAGAATATATAAATTGCTTCCAAATTTTAAATTCAATGAATGGTAGTCATTTAAGAACATTTTGTTAATACGATTTTAACAAAGAAGTGAGCGATATTGGTATATAATTGTTTTTCTATTATAGAGACATAAATATCATTATGTAGCTAATTAGTTTTAAAACAATTAAAATACACATGACGAACCTACAATATAATTTCTGTGTAAAAATAAGATGATATGATTTTTAAATAAGACACAATACAATGTGAGAATTATATCTCATACTTCACAACAACATATTGACATAATATTATTCATTGACATATTATCCGTCAACAAATTATATGTGGAAACTGGAAATGTGCTTATAAATTTGACGAGTTAATTAAAAAATGATAACTGGAC